CTCACGTTTTGGATTGTTCGCCACCAGTGCCTTTACCGGATCTCGACTTACCTTCGCCTTCGGACTACGACTCAGCTCCTGGATTTGCTCGGTACGTTTACTTACCTCCCTGCGACTCCTGCATCTGCATCGGATCCTTTTCACCTCTACAGAGCAGCGTTACACTTACCAGCTGTTCCAACACTCCTGGTGATTCCTGAAGACTCACAGTACCTCACAAATCCCTAAAGTCTGGCCTCCGGTTATTGACTCAGCCACCTCCTCCCTCAGTTTGTTAATTCGGACTCGTTAATCCACCCGATTCTCATGGGTTGGTTTCTGATTGGATCAACCACACGTTTCCTTTTATCCGAAACGACCGTAAAATCTCTGGGAGAACAAACTCCAACACAGGTGGGTAGAAGAAGAGACCTTTTTTTTTTACTCTATTTTCTGTTGATAAGCCGCCATTTAATTCTTCTTCCAAGCTCATGAACTGACCACACAGCACAAGCAGGAAGCACAGAGCAACAACAAAAAAAACCAAGATGTCAAATCGAAAGGTGGAAGTGGTTGTGTTGTGTTTTGTGGAGAAGAGAGAAGGGCTGCTGTCTGGATGAAAATAAAGTTTTGCAATACTGTTCTGTTGATGTGAAGTTCTGCCAGTGCTGCCCCATGTCTCAGAGGAGTGTGGGCAGGGTGTGACTTGTGGTGCTGTATCTTGCCCTGGAGCTGTAATTGCAAGCACAGCATCAAACAATCGAGCAATCACGTTTTATACGTTGATGTTTAATAGGAGTGCTGTTAGTTTTTTCCTGCTCCAGTTTTGGTTAGTGGGGCCCTGGATCTGGGGTTTATAAACCCATCTCTGACCTTGGGCCACAGAAGATTTGGGAAACACTGGAAGAGAAGATAACTGCTTTGGCCTCTTTCACCCCTGTCAATTTACATAGAAGAAATGAGTCCTGAAAGAGTGTGATGTATTATTTAACTGGCATTTTTACGAATGTTCAGACCTCTTCCTGTTGAGTTATTTCCTCCCAGCCTGCAAGTCTGACTGCCTTCTCCACTGCCAGGCAGCTTTGAGAGCGAACCCAGGCTCTGTTACACATTTTAGGCAGATCCTGCCCATTTTAACAGTCCAGAGAGAATTATAAGATGTAGAACTGGGTTGAGTCACACACAGGATTAACAGTCGCCTCTCTTCTGTCTAGATTAAATGTTGTACTGCACATGATCGGCTGGTGTCCAGTTTTGTTCTCTAAAGTGTTCCGTTTTTGCTTTGTTGCTATCCAATAAGACAATGTACTGAACGCATTATGCATTTCTGTACTAAATCCAAACGTTTATTCCATCCATCGACCTACACCGTGACAAAGACCTACAAGAAACACTCTTTACAGCTCTTGCTGACACGGCGTCTTAACAAAACTTGAAAAATGTGAAGATTCCTCAGGACAGGAACTAGGGGATTTGTGTGGAGCTGCACTAGGCTGAGGCCTGGGTGGGGTGGGGAAAAGAGAAAGGTTGCTGGAGCGTCAAAGTACAGGTGTATTCTGGGAAAGCTCAGCGGTCAAGCCCAGTGGAGAAGTGTTCTCCGAGCCACAGGCCAGGCAAGAGCCACCAGTGTCTGGAGCAGTGGGACATCACCAGACGAGATGGCAGCTACAGAGGATCTTATGAAGAGTGAACACACAGATGATTCTGAGAAATGACAGCACTTCTGAGAGAGGCATCCAGATAACAAGGAGGGCTGAGGACCAGAGAGAGTCATGATCACCCCCTACAGTGACCAGCAGAGAACAAAAGCACTTGACCCAAAACCCAGAAACAAGAACCAAGAACTAAGAAAATACACAATGAGAGAACCCAGAAACAAGAACTGAGAACAAGAACAAGAAAGAAGAAAGAAAGAAGAAAGAAAAAACAGAAACAGAAACAGAAACAAGGAACAACGAACAACGAACAACGAACAAGAAACAAGCAGAAAATACACAATGAGAGGAGACAGCAAATGGAAGGCATTGAATACAGAGGGGTGTATAACAGAACCCCTTTAATTAAAGGCCCTTCGAATGAAGGTTTTGAGTCCAGATCTGAAAGAGTTTCAGGAAGGTGCCTCTCTGATATCCTTGGGGGAAGAGACCCAGAAAGATCACTGGAGAGCTGAAGCGAGGTCTGATGGGGAAGAGTGAGATTTTCCTGGATGACGCAAGATGCGTGACAACACAAGATGGACCCCCCCCACCCCAAACCACACCAGCTGTGTCCTCCCTCCCTCATGTCAACCCCTCGATCGACTCACCGCTGAAGCAGAAGAAGGGCAGCCTCTGATCGCAGCCGGTGTCGTTCCAGTACCCTGCCGAGCTGCCCGCCATCAACAGTGAAGCACAGTCCTCGTTTCCAGCAGCATTGTCAGGGACGCCGTCTGCCCAGTTGTAGAAAGTGGGGTTGCTCGGGCTCGACCATTTCCAGGGCTCCACGAACAGGCCGATCCAGACGTAGTTACCCTGCGCCGTCAGTCGGACCTCCTCGTTCTCGTTCCGGTTCCTCACGCTGGCCACGTCCGTGTGCTGCTCCCGGCAGGACCTCTGGGCTGCGGTGAAGTTCTTGTTCGTTTCTATCAGGAAGTAGCTCCCTGCAGCGTCTCTGCCCTCTGCGAAAACAAGTCGGAACCAAAGCCTACGAGTCTAAAGGGTCCAGACTCGTCAGATTCATTCCAACCGCTGTGTCTGAATGTTTGTGAGACTTTTGTGTGAGAGTAACGTTATTGTCGCGTCAAACAGGAAGTATCTCTTTGGCTCTCCACAATCTACGAGCCAGCAGCCATATCACCCTGCATCCTTGCATTGGGGCCCGTCGTGGTCATCGATATTCAAGACCGAAAAGATTCAGTTCCTTCAGCACACTCCCCAGGATAGATCTGGTTAATAGACTTCTAGACTGAGCACCTTTCTGACTAGTCTGTTGTTCGATATAAACATACCACTGCCCGTGATTTGAATTCTGTGCTTTTAACTTCGTATCCTAGCATTGTGTTCAGTTTCTAACTGTGTGTCAACATCCACCCCTCCGTCTTCTCCATAAGCAGCCTCTCCTGGCTCGGCCTTCCTCATTTGGCTTTGTTTGGGTGTGTTGCCTCCCCTGCAGACCCCACATCTCGTCCATGTTCAACCTCTTCTGTCGTCATCATCATATGGAACTGAATCTCTGTGTATTTCCTCTGCTGCTTGGACAGTCTGCTAATCCTCTGAATTGGGTGCCATCTGGACTAATCAGGTGGCTCGTGGACTCATTGAACCAGCATCTAGATCAGCGACATAAACCTCATCAAAGTATTCATCCCCAATGTCTGAGCTTAACATTAAGACGTTGTGGGCAGAGTGGTGGTTCTGTGCCTGTGACTGGAAGGTTGCTGGTTCAAATCCCACAGCTGGCAGAGGAATCCTGCTCTGTTGGGCCCCTGAGCAAGGCCCTTCATCCCAGCTGCTCCAGGGGCGCTGTACAATGGCTGACCCTATGCTCTGACCCCAAGCTTCACTCTCTCCTTGTCTGTGTGTCTAATGGAGAGCAAGCTGGGGTTAATAAAGAAACATTATCATTATCATTAACATTAGGAGTTTCCAGCAGGACTTTATTTTTAGAATCTATGCAATCTACTCTTGGGAGTTTGCAGGATGCAGATAGCTTCCCATTTGCATTTAATATTCAGCTGTGAAGCCATAAAGATTTGCAAAGTTCGGTGTCTGAGTGTTGACACAATGACAGCATCGTGGTTTCTGCTCAAAGCTGGCCCACACACAGGGAATAGAAAGACATGCGTGACCAATTCAAGCCATCACACACAGGACTGGAAAAAACGGGATTAACTCCAGTGATCTGGTGTCAGGTCTTCCTGCTTCCTGTGTTCATGGGGGAGATTCTTACTTGTCTGCAGTTGTACTGGTTAGTACGGAGGTCATACTGGTTCCATAAAGTGATGTCACAAGAAGAGGACGTCAGTATCAAGTTCCTTCTCAGGGGGATCATCACAAGATATAAATGAACTGGCTTCATCCCTCTGCTCTCCTCCCCACTGAGAGCTGGTGTGTGGGGAGCGTTCTGGCGCACTATGGCTGCCGTCGCATCATCCAGGTGGGGGCTGCACATTGGTGGCGGTAGTGGGATTCCCCCTGACCTGTCAAGCGCTTTGAGTGGAGTGTCCAGAAAAGCGCTCTAGAAGTGTCAGCAATTATTATAATTAAAACTGTTTAAAACGAGATTTAAACCGCCAGAGGGCAGTGTAGCAATGCATTCCTCGTAGAGATCAGCGAACTGGCTGCACCTGGGTAGAGCCCTATCAACGCGTTTCCTAAAGCGGCGCCGGTGGTTGGCTAGGACGAAGCGTGTGGTTTCTGGAAGCAGCACGTATTGAAGAGCTCAGGGCGTGAGCGTTTCGGGGGACTTGTCTAGTTTGCATGTGCTGAGCTGCTCTGCTCTCGTCTGGGTCCGGCATATTCACTTAACTTTGGACCAATGAAACCCTTCGTCAGACTTTTCAGGTGCAAAACGTTTGATTTTGTTTTCCTGTTTCACATCTGTTGCGTTATGTTCAAACTGAGGAGAGACAACGAAAGATCTTTTGTTGGAAATTGCATGCTTAGCGCTCGTTCTAGGATGCTAAAAGATCAAGCAAGGAATAGCAAGACGGTGACCGTCCCGCAGTGTCAGCGGGGGCTGAGAATCGAATTTTATCGTCTGTTTTATATTGATTGGATCGATTCAACGATCGCAAGCAACGTTTTGTTTTTTTCCAAATGCCAAAGTTGTGCTTCCGCGGGTTAACGGCCGAAGAACATTCATATCGAGTACAGTAAGTGTTAACAGCCAGCCTGATAACGTTTCCTTTTCGGACGTTGTTGATGAAGTAGTTTAAACTCTTTAGTGGATTAAAACCGAGCTTGGGATTTTCGCAAGACGGTATTGCAAAGATGAGGCTTCACCGGTGCAAAAATAATGCTTTTATAATGCTGAAACAGTAAACACTCCAGGCTTAACATTAAATATAGTGTGTGTGTGTGTTTCCTGCGATAGACTGGCTACGACGCTGAATCGGATCCAAGGGGCGAGAGAAGGGATGAATTAAGGTTGTGCGTCTCTGTGTCGGTGCGTGTCGTCCTGCGACGTTGCTTGCTGGGATCGACTCCGGCTCTCCGCTGACCCCCAACTGGGAGCCCCCGCCCCCCCACTCGCGGTGGGGAAACCTCACTTTTCTCTGCGCTTTCCGACACCTCCGAAGGTTGACTGGCTTCTGGGGGAAAACTGGCGCCGCTGTGAGCGTGCGTCAGTCCTGCCATGGCCTGGCGTCCTGCCCAGGATGTACCCTGCCTTGTGCCCATTGCTTGGCAGGACTAT